AGGAGGAAAAGGGAAGGATCCACAATTATGTGTCATCTTCCCCTACAGACAATTGTTTCTCACTGTTTGTAAGGTACCAAATGTCGACATTTTCCTGACTCTGGCTTCTAGACTCTGCTTATACATATCAGGATTGAAAGCGCTTGTCACCAGTTTTTGAACGGAATCACAAAATCAAAATGGTTAAAGGTTCAAACTGGGAGAAAATTATCTGCCCTGGGCAGTCTCCTGTTTAATTTACACTGTCAGTGAAGGTGTCTGCTGCAGAAGAGAAACAGGCAGCAGACAAGGTTAAGGGCCTAGGCCCTTACCATCTGCCCCTTAGATTTCCAAACCATATCTGCCTACCTCCTCCATTTCTCATTCTTTAAGTAATATTATTATTTGGTTACAAGAAGTGTAACTGACCTTTTAATAGATACGCAAGAGATGTGAGAACAGAATCTTCTATTCTTTATGTGCATCTTCTGTCTAAAAACAGATTAAGTCATTCAGGAATGGAGCACAGGCACCAAGTGGAAAGCTCTCGGTAGTAATAGACACTTATCTCTTTAAAGAATTTAACCTGCTTAAGATTAGTATCTAGCTACCTCTGTGGTCTTGGCAGTCTTCAGCAACACTCACTGTAGTCCAACAATAGCAACGGACAATGAGTACTCATAAAGTCAGCTGAAAAGAGTGTGGAGTTCTAGTTCTTTGGTTCCATGCAGATGAGTGATTGGGACATACTGTACAGAAATGAAATGTGACGAGACAGTTTAAAAAAAACTAATTCAATAACAATGTATGAAGGTCACTGTACTTCACTATCTGTTCACATTAGGAAACTGCAGCTGGCAGCTCTAATCCAGGCAGTAATAATTTACTGTACCTTCCCAAAGAAGGAAACTCATAAAGTCCCAAAGCTGTGACAATGGGGAAAGGTGTGTGGCACTTGATAACATCACTGTTTGCTTAACACGAACTAAACAGGTTGAAATCTAGACTGGAAAAGTCATTTATGAAATGCCTCATTGATTTCTTTAAAAAAAATTCTGTCCCTATTAGTCTGTCTGCAGAACTGTCCTTCTACTCCTGACTCTTGACCTCATGTGTACTCTTACACACTTTACCCCTAATAATAATAATTAGCAAGAACTTGCTCTAAGTGTGAAAAAAGGACTTGGCACAAAGACACTTCCATACTCAGATTCAGAAGTAATAAAAAAAACAATGGACAACTTGTGAATCATTTACTACATCATCTAGAGTTCAGTTTGTCGTATGTTAATGATTAGCTGGTCTGATTTCTCTGAACTTCGACTGGATTAATGAGTTGCCTAGGCTGTAAGAAGTCTTCTCTTCCAACAGATTTGAGGGTTTTAAGTGGGAGAGTGATATTACCTTCAGCACAGAGCAATGTGGCACAATTAATTAATAATTTGTGATATCATTTAGGCTCTATCAGTCATCTAATCAGAACCTTCACCAATCTTTTTTATGAGATATAATATCATGAGATGATCAGAGCTGTCAGAGTAATTCAACAGCATGGTGAGTGAAAGATTGCTGAAAGACAATCCATAATCTCGCACACAGAACAAACACAGCTCTGGAGGGCAATTACTGGCTAAAAACATGACAAATCAATACTATAGTACCATCAAGCTCCATCACTATTCATTTGCATGAGAATAAAATGCTGAGTAAAATGGAAGACCCATGGATATAACCCACTGTACCTCTCAGTAACGTCTGCATAACATTCACAGTCTACAACCTTCAGTTTCATTCTAAACCACTAGTTATTAACGACACATTTACAGAAGCAGATACAGGACAACCTTTTTGTAAAATGGAAATGTGAGTGTTTTTAAAAGTAAAGAACACTGTAAGACTTATTTTGTTGTGAATTGTCCCCAGAAAAGTACAGCTTTCCACTGACTGGAGAGACATTATGCTTTTCTTATCTGAATATTGTTCTAGAATAAAAAAGATCCCCATGGGCACATAAAGAGAGATCTGGGTGAGTGCAGTAAGTACAGAAGCTGTCCCATAGTGTCTGAGAGAAAGAGGTGTGCTTGAAAAGTTCATAATTTTGTGTTCTGAACACTGCATGCTGCAGTATACAGTACATGTCTCTTTAACTTTCCTTGCTTTTACATTTTTATGTAACACAGTCTATTCCCAGACTGAAAACTTCAATCAAGTCATTAACATGGAGTTATTAGAAAGGAGTCATCGAGCTACTGTTCTGCTTGACGACCAAAATGAATTAACTGGGCAAGAGGTGTTGTTTGCGCCGGAGTGATTGATTGGATCAATCACCATTGGCAAGATAACACTATTGATCGTAACAGTCACTGTAAAGTGGGGGTCGGCCACAGGGAAAGTATGTGGAGTGGAGGCTTCAACTCGACAATCCCTTTTTCAAGACTGTTGGGAAAATTTTACTGAAAACTGATGGAAAAAAAAGACAGGCGGGATTAAAATGATTTAAAAGACAAGCCAGTCGAAAAACGTGGCATGCCCTCCCTTTTTACTGCGAGATTCCTAATTGCGCGCTGGCCTTTTTAAACCCGAAAATATGATTTATGACACAGCAAAATACACACAACGCCACCCAAGTCTTCTGCTGGGAAGATGTAATTCATAATATTCTGCTCTAACATTATTTGAAGATGTAAAGCAATATTAACTGTCTGCTAGGATAGCTTCTGCAGAGGTTTATTTATAGTGAGGTGTGCATTGAGAACCTAAAGGATAAAATTAGACATTGATAGCTTTCTATGACATGAAGCACTCAGACATCTTAAGACATCTTGGGTTGTGCAGCCCGATTGGTTAAACCCCTTACCTGGCTGTTTATATAACAGGTTACAGGATTAAGCATGAGCTGTAGATTTATGCTGATACCCCGAATAAAAAAAAAGAGCAAAACCCCAACATAACCCTCTAGAACAATGAAAATCCAAGTCTCTGACAAAAATCATGAACAGAATAGAGGTGAGCAGCCCAGCAAGATGTTGTACGATTAAATGATTTAATGCAGTAAACGTGTGTGTAAGACAGGAGTTAGGAGTCAAACCAGTGCTACAGTGCTGTACAGATGGTATGTAACAGAGAAAAAATATGTAGACCTACAGGCTATTATAGTGAGTGTGAATCCATAGATCGATTGTGGTTTACACGTGTTGAAGACAGCTTTCAACAATTAAATTAATCAGCTACTCTTTTTAATTCCAAATGCTTTATAGTCATATGTTTGCATTCTTGCAGAACTATTTCATTTTTCCATCCTACCAACCCTCCCCCCCTCCTCCTCCCAAACATAAGATTTGACAAATTCAGACATTCAGCATAGAACATTCTGGCATCCAAAAAGACTTTAATGCTACCGCATAACACGTTACATTAAATGCGTCTCTCAGAGGCTGGTGAGAAGTCACAACATGTCTCTACAGAGAATACACTTATTTATTTTTATATTGCTTTCCAAGGCCCATATATTACAAACACGTTTCAGTGATGTTTAAAAGGACTATGATATTTAGTGTCCTCACGGGTAGAAGTTTCACTGCGTAAATGTAGATGCCTGAAGGAATGCAAAACACAAAAGGCTGAATTATTATGATAAATATAGACCACACACAGTAAGTGCTGCTTCATTTTGAAAAAAGCCATAACCACATGAACATTTAGAATAAACCACAAATGCAAACTGGCTAGTTCTGTGATTTGTCCTGTAATCTAACAAAGCTGTAGGAGATGTATATAAATATTCAGCAACAATACTGAGAAAAGCCAAAAATAATTCTTCAGCTCACTACAGCCATGATAGCTGACACATTGTCAAAACAATGCCTCCAGTCTCCAGAGAATTACACCATTTGCAGAAAAACACCAACGACTTTCATATGCCAACAAAACACAAAAGATATGTCCTGAGGATGTCCCAAAGAGCTGTAACTTGACCAGAGGCAGAACTGCATAAATCACCCACAGTTAATAACACATGGCTACGTGGACTAAAAAGATCGATTCTGAGTCTTAGAATAACCTGTTCCAATTCTAAACCGCAGTGCGTTTTTACACCAGCATTAACAAGGGTATTCCAGCTATCAGACTTCAGAAACACTCACACAGCTGAACGGAATTTGACATTTGTAAACAATGCTCTGTGTGTAACAGCTATCTCCATTCAGAGGATTTCAACAGGTGAGATATGCGAGATGTCCTCAAAGACTGCTGTTGCCTTGGTAAAGATGGCAGCCAGTGAAACTAGAGGGGGAAAGCACGGCAGGGCTCCAGGGACAATTACTGTACTTTGATTACAACATTTAAAGTAGACTGCAGCTAAGGACAGACTCCCCTTGCACAGCCACCTGTAGCTGTGTTGCTGCAGGCTGGACATATCGCTTATGTCATCAAAACCTCTAAATGTTCCACATGCAGACCACTCTGGGAAAGATATGGAAATCCACTTTGGCCTTAACCAGTCTTACAGTAAGATAGTTTTAATAAATTAAAACTAAGGAAAGCAAATGGCATGTTGTTCCATCAACTAGGACCCTAAAAGTAAAATAATGAATCCTGCCGTCCGCACATATGACCAGACATTGACTTGTATCGCATAAACTCGGTATTTCATTTTATCTCCCCAGTCGCAGGACATTCGTTTCGACCCATTTTGACAACGGAGCGTAACAAGAAGTGATGCACTCACCTACTGTAAGTGATTCTGAGTGGCAGAATGACAGTTCAGTATTTATTACCCTCATAATCCCTTTACCTTTCCTGTGCTTGCTTTTTAATGAATCGTCCCTGAGCTCACACTTATTGTTTTAAGAGGCACCTTAAACGGAAACGTTTAAAAAGTCGGCTGTGACACGTTTATATGTCAAAGACACATCACGCCAATGTGTTTAGTCTTTGACAGCCGGACATGGCCGTATGATACCAGACCAAAGCTACAGTACATACGACTGACGTTATTTTTTTCTGGAAAGGTCATTCTACCAACGTTTTTTATAGCTAGATAAAAACAATCAAATCATCGACAACTATTACAGTAATCAGATTAAGATTTATAAGAAAAACTGCAGTGAAGAGGTGAATGTTTACCAGGTTTCTAAATGGCATCGATACTTTCCGAGTGATCTGAAAAGACAACGCAAACGCTTAGTGCTATATGTTAAAATCTAGTGTATCTGTAAAACCTGAGGACTATAAGCCTGTTTAAAATTGTATATAAATGTTTGTTCGTAACATCAGAATGTAATTTACGAAATTAAATAAGTCTCTTTAAAGATGCCTTCCTAATAATCTCAACTCAAAAGCGCTCACACAGCGCACGCAGGACCGACGTGTACATGGATCAAAATACCTAGATTTTTAATAAATGTTTTTTTTTATTAAGTGTCTTAATTAAAATTTAATAATCACAGTTTTTATCTCAACTTTTAATATATCTAACAAATTACCTATATGTACACGTGTGTTTAAGAGTGAGAAAACGCTCCTTGATCTGAAAGACTAAAAATAGACTGGTTACACAAACTAGTTACTTTATTAAATAAATCTTTCTATGGCTAGATCGATAAAGATAATATATATTTCAAACTTATCAAATTAACGGATTTGGAAAATCGAATGCGAGGCGCTGGTCTATTTGCTCACGAGGAAAAAAAACTGATTTCCTTATGACATAGATGTTTAAATATAGAAGTAAAAACGCGTGAGGGCATTTTAAAAATGAAAAAAAGGCAGCTGTCAAAACAACACGCGTTCGACATAATGGACACTGACAGCGAGCCTCTGTCAAGTTATACTCACCCCATTTCCTTGGACTTTCCGAACAAACCTCCAAGCTTCCAAAAATAAAGCCTTTGAAGCGAACTTCACCAGCTGCGGTAACAGCAATCTTCAAAAACTTATGCAAAATATCCCCTCTCTCGGTATTAACTGTTCGACGAGTGCATATCGGGACCCTAGCTTGGAGGAGCAAGGACTGAAATATGAGAGTCTGACTCACTCGCACACGGGCACGGAGAAGCTTAATTTTCGTCCTTATATCAAGCCTTTCCTCTTATTTCTGCGAGAGCGCTTTTCCAAGCCATTTAGGAATCTGTCCAATGCAGAAAACACGGGGAGGGGGGGAATCCACAAACGATCACAGCAATGTTGAAATGTATTTTCTTGTTTTTCTAATTTTCTCCCCCAGTAGAAGTGTGTATCTCCGTTCCCTGATGCGCTTGTGTTGGAAGTGAAGCTCGGAACGGCAGCAGCGACACTGAGAGGATTCCACCTGCTCTCGGCAGCAGCCTCCCACACTCTTCAGAGTGACATGGGGCTGGTGCTTAGTTACTACATCTCCAGGGGGCGAGATCCGAGACTCACAACTACAGCACGCCGGTGAATGATCTGCCCCGAGATGCACCTACAGTAGAAATAACGACCTTGCGCAAAACATAACGGGCGTTTAGCAATCAGCTGAATAAAAAGAGCCCACAGAAGAGCACATATAGCGGTGGGTTTCAATAAAACTTTTGTGAGTTAAGAAAATATAGCTCAAAGGGCATTTTAACTAAACTAGAGGCAATGCAAATAAGTTACAGTACATCATTTTTGATAGACCTGTATGAGCGGAGAGTCTGGAAAAAGAGGTGTGTGGGGGTACAGTAAATCTGTAATTCTGTCTTTTTAATAATGTTGTATACAGTCAATTGAGCTCGACTCCCCCCGATCTCCGTGATTTTAGACCACGATGCTATAGTATATAATACAGTATGTCTGTTTCTTTAAAAAAAAAGCCACCTGCCACTTCAATGGGATTGTATATAGCGACAGACTTCACCTGTCCTGAAAAGCGCCGCAAAACGACTGTTTTGTTTTACAGCATGAGGCAGGCAAGGCCTTTCAGTTGTGTGCAGCACTTTCTGAAAACCCATCAAGCCGTCAAAACGTTTCAATACAAAAGAGAATTTTGAGACACCCCAGATCGTGCTTTACAGTTTTATAACCATAGAAACTTGTGTTGCTTTTTTATTTTACACAATTAGGTCACCGAGCACTGAGGTATGAGTGAATACAGAAAGCGCCTACAGTGCTTGTATGTCATTGTTGCATTTCTAAAATGGAACTAGTGGCATTGTTCCAAGTGAAACTCTGTATCAGTCTACCATTGCTTCGTAGTGCAGTATTTATTTCAGGGAACCCACAGCAAAGCCAGTGGTTATTCAATAAATAATAGCATTATTCCGGTTCCTGCTGCATTCCTTGCGACCGGGTTACTTGGTTACTTAGCTGCTTTTACTCTGGATTAATGATGAGTCACTGAGCAATATCGTGTTTCCATGTACAGTTGAAAGAAGGTTGTGTGGCGCCATACAAGTCCTACATCTGCAAAGACTCAACATTTCTAATGTTTCCCCCTCTGAAGTGAAGTACCATATATTACGATCTAATTATCCAGATCGTTTAATGTGCCGTTCCCTATAAAGAGTTTGCTCCTGTTCATTCAGTTTTTGTCATTGTTTATAAATAATATTTCTACAACCATATCATATATATTATTAATACCCTCAGAGCAAAACAGTTACACAGACCAATAAGAAAATGTTCAAATTGATTTTAAATTGATTAGAAGGTTTACTTACCTGTACGTCTCTTTATCTATAATTATTTTGCCCAACCACCCAGGAGTTGCTGACCCAGGCTGAAAAGAGGCAGTCCAGCATTCTGTCGCATTTTGGGTAATCTTTAAATCATCAATTACTTTACACGTCGGACAAAATTGTCTTCAATCAATGAAGCATCTTAGAGATGGTCTCAAATCTAAATACCCACCCCTTGTAGTTTTTAAAACCCAAAGGTTGCTATTTCTGATTTAATTGAACCGATTGGCTGACTAAACTAATCAGAGGTCATTGAGAATGACCTACTGGATTGGGGCTTTCCATGACCAGAAACAGCCACCCATGTGCCGGTTATAGTTATGTATCACTAGATATACATCGACCCTCATACACATAAAACTAGCTAAAACTTCAGCCTGCACATGACCTTTTATTTTGATACACAAATTGATCCTTTCTCTTTCCCTCCACCAAAGCATTTAGGCTGAACATTTTATACTAAGCAAAAACACATGCAAATAAATGTGAACAGAATTAAGGTTTTACAAAACTGTATGAAAAGCAAATTAATCCCAATCAAAATAATTATTTTCGTTCATTGTCACTGAGGTTTTTTCCAAATATTATTTAGTTCTAAGCCTCTTCCAAGTCCTTCGTTCCCGTTAGTTTGTTTGGACTTTTAATTTACATGCTTCTGTACTCTGTTCGAGTTTCTAAAATATCTTTGTACAAGCATATTGTTTCTAATGACGTCAGAAAACAGAGTGAAGCAGCCTTTCTGAAACTCGGAACTTGGATCATTACAAACCATATTCAACATTTTAAGAGCCGAAATAAATCGTAATTATGTTGAAGTTCAGGTGGGTAGCTGCGTCAGCATACGTAGGCTGTGAAGGAACAAGTAATAGGTTTATTCCATGCTGGGGAAAAAAAGAAGAAAACACAACGTTTCGGCCGTGGACCCTTCAGGTGTCTGTACTCACCTGAATTATAACTTTTAAAAACATTCACGACCGAAATTAAGATAAACGGTGATGATACGAGTATCGTATGTAACTTTAAGCAGTCCACATTACAGGAAATAAGACCAGATACTGACTAAAAAGAACAACGCGGTTTTGTAGGGATCTTCTAGACCCAATTGAAATTTTAAGCGAACTTTCTTAAGTTAGAACAAATACAAACTATTGGACTGCAATGAACGAAGGAATGGAGAGTAAACCAAAGATATTTTGTAAGAAATTATTTAAAATATGTAAGGTAATCATTTCTATCTAATTAACTTCAGAATATACCCCCTGTTAAAGTTTGTGGCTATTTAATGAGAAAGAAGCGCACAGTTCTTTTAGGAACTAACGTACCCGGAACCATTTTTCAGAGAGTCTTGCGGAATCAGTACGCTACTGCACAACAGAAACAAGAGTGTTGGAGCTCATTTTCGTAACGAAAACATTTGGATTGTAAATCCCGGGTTTCGGGACCGATTTTAATGTAAGTAACCTTTGTTTTATCAAGAGTTTCGAAAGAATAAAATTAGACTTTTTTGTCGTCCTCCACAGAACAGGAGTAATAAAGTTCGCCAGGCTCCAGTTTGTGGGTGTGCTCTACATTTTATTTCAGTACTTGTGTCGCCAGTACGTGTTACATGAATAATACAAAGGTCTAATGCAAACAAATTAACACGGGGAAATGATGATGAGCAGGAGGTGGATCCAGCGTTTTGCACTGGAAATAGCATGGAGCTGACGAATTAATTACTTTTTAAATCTAAATATACAAATGAGTCAGTTAATACGTAGGTTCGGTGATCTTCTGAAGTCGCTTAAGCAGTCCTGTACACAATGGGTTGCGTTATTGCTATACGCTCGGGTTCGAGGCGGACGCGTGGCGCCGGCTCAGCCGGTTTCGCTGGCGAAGCTCAGGTTCTTGTCAGCTGACTCTTTTGCACCCATTAAGAAAATCATAGATAATTGTTTGATCAGGACTTTCGAAAATCATCGGGTGACTTCAGATATATGTATATATTGTTTGTATCTGAAGTAATTTTTTTCGTGCTTAACATAAAAAAATAAAATCGCGGTACTTTGTATGATTAAGCATATACTGTCTGGGATTTCTTCCACGTTGATCCCCGTAAAAGGTGAACTAGTGTCACATTTACTTAAAAACGCCGTGTTTATTCAGCTGACACTTTTGTCATTTGTGCCTTTTGGGCAACTGGATGTTTTTTTGGAGTGATTTGTGTGGGAAGCACAGATCTGCTCACACTCAAAGAGTTGAACCCCACAGTCTTCCAGTTACAGGTACAGAGGCCAAACCCGGAGCTCCACGCGAATTGCTATACGTTTAACCCTGTCTTGTGTGACCTTGCAGAATGTCCGGCGCTTCTGAGTCAGTACCTAACTATGAAGAGCAGTTTGCCCACCGATTCACAATAGAAGACAAGGAATATCAGGAATGCCTGCAGCGCGGTCCCGACCCGCCTCCTATTGTGGAGGGCTGGAGGGGGAGAGGCGGAGGCCCGCCGCGGGGCCGGGACAGCCGGTATGGTCGCATTTCTCTGCTGCATTCTCGGCCAGGCAGGCTGAACCTGCCCGGCTCCGGGTCCAGCCTTTCATTCCTCGCTTTGTTTTCTGCTGCCCTGCTCGAATGTTGGGAATCCGGACAGGAATGTCGTTTTTATTTTCTTCAGGGATTTATTTGATGTTCAAGGAAAGCCTCAGAAAGCCTGTGACATTTCTGCTGGCCTTCAATATGAGGTTCAGCACATATTTACTCTTATTTGAAGACAGTCTTTTCCAAAATATTTTAACATGCAGCAGAATATGATATGGAAGTTATTAACTGTAGTTCGGGAGGTATAACAATGACAAGTCAGTCTCACTCAATGTTCCTAATTGCCATCATCACAATACTGACTACATACAGTACTGTAGACTGGAATCAAATGCCTCCCTTCACAGCTGTCTCAAGCATCCCTCCTCCACCCCAGCTCCCCCTGCAGCTGGCCCTTGCTTAACTCAGTCTAAAAGGGGTTCGAGCCTCCTTGTCCTATAGCCAGGAGGGTGCCCAGTAACCTAGAAGTTTAAGCCAAACTTTTCTCACTTAGTATTCCAGGCAGTCACAAAGCATTCCTGCCTTGGATGTTGTTGTCTTTAGTGGACTGTAATAACAAAATGCTGACTCTTCTGTTTTGGTATATCAAGAGTTACTGTCGGCCTTGTTTGTAGATCAGGCAAGTTGAAGTAAGGCTGTTTCTTTTGATTCCCTCTCTCCCAGTCCACACGATTATCGATCCTACCGAGGAAGAGAACGGGGCAGGAGCTGGACAGGCGATAACCGTGACGGACAGGCATGGCAGAACAGAGGCTGGGGGCACAGTCACCAACACTACCAGCAGCAAGAACAGTACAGTTCCTACGGACACCAGGGCTACAATTCATATAATCAAAGGCCACATAATCGTTACTGAAGGAGGTGTGCAGTAATCTCTCTGTCTCTCTCTCTCTCTCTTATGCAATTAAAACCCATCTACAAAGACAATTTGGCCAGAGTTCTGTTGCATTTGCTAAATTTCAGATTTTTGAAATCAAAAGTTAGTATTTTTTTTTAGTAGAAAGGGGTGTCTTAGATGTTGATCCTGTGATTTGATGTTTCTGTGTCTGTACTCTGTAGTGCTGCTAAAGATTGTGAAAATGTGTGCATTTGTTTGAATCAACAATGATGGTCAGCGGATATTTCTTAATGGTCCCTTCCCGCTTGCCAGAGCAGAATCTTTCATGTTGTGGACTGGCAATGGGATCTAAAGACCAAAGTTTTGTAGGACAGAAATATCAGAAGTGTTCTTGCTTTCTAGGTCTCATCAGATGTGCTCTTCTGTGTGTCTCCGTAGACTGTCTTCATTTCTGAAATGTAACTAGCTCAGAT